CTTGTAGGATTTTTCGTGATAAATCGGTGATAATATTAACTCTAAAAATTTTACAGTAAATTACTAATATTATTAGCTGCTCACTGTAATTTTTGTAGCTCTAGAATAATTAGTTTGCTAAGATAGATAATGATGCCCTATTTCGAATAATGATTAAATCGATAGAATGAGATAAAGAAACACCTTGGAAATTGTATAACTAAAACATTTGTTGGGAAGTAACACCTTATTCGACAACATGGATACGTAGACCAGCGTTAGAGCTATCTCGTTAGCTTGTGAGGCATGATCGGGTTTTTAAGCATTTCGACTGTCGTTGATTATATTACATCTATGCATTTGCATCAATGCATATCATATAGGTACGATGATGGATCAACGGATCAATTGAAGGATGATTGGGAATCCAAAGATGGTGTATTGGTATTCTCTCTAGGAGATGATGCAATGGGCTTTCTATTCAGTTGATGGTGGATGATCTAAAGATGCAGATACTAACTTTTAGTATATATCTTACCCAGGCAAGCCCTGGTGCATAACCCATATTATTCTGCACTTTAAATTATATTTGTGCATTAAGTTTCAAGGAGTTGAATGAAACCCACTTGCATATATATCTTTATCCTATGAGTCTTACTAGTATGATAGGATCGTATAGAATGCTATGCTACAAGACTCCGGTAGAAGTCGAGTGATTGCCTGTCACTCGCGAGAGATAGGAAATATATTACTATATTATTATCACTTGGAATATAAATGGTGGAAAGGAAAAATGGTGACCGGGCAGGGAAATGGTTTGGGTATTGGTGGGTGTGAGAGGTTGTGTCCTGCGGCCACAGGGCATAGCTTGGTTACACTGCGTTCCCTGTCTGTGTCGGTTAAGGACCGGTCGTTGCATAAGGCTCTAGGCAAGTCACAGACTTATTATCCTAAGCACATACTTGGGTATGGGCGCTTGGAATACTTGTTACTCTCTTGTCATGGGTTCCAACTCTTTCCGGACCGATTGTCATGGTGGGGTTTTTGGGTTAGGACATCCTTGCACCGCACTGAGTCCGGGACTCAGGGGCGGGGGCTTGGAGTCCTAGTGTGGATGGGGACCTAGACCCCGTGATAGGAGGGTAGTGGGTTGGTCCTGCTTGTGCCTTGGGTACAAGCGGGGCGTGTGTTTTCGAGGTACCTAGCTGGGGGCATTGATTCGCGAATCACCGAGCAATCCGGTACGGCTTGTCTGTGGTCTAGCACCATAGTAAGAACTAAAAGATGAAGGATGGAAAAAGGAAATATGATTGCTTACCATCTGCTTGAAAGTAGTACATGTGCTTACATAGAATGGTTAGTTAATGAACTAATGCACTGCTAATAAAAATCGAATATAAGGACGCACATTTAGTAATGCTCCTACAGATGCAATAAACCCACAAGCCAGATAGCCTTGCATATCCTTAGAGTCTTTTCTTTTCTCCTGTCGGGTAAGTCTTGCTGAGTACAATTGAGTACTCAGGGTTTTATTTTCCCCTGTGGCAGGTGACAGGTGGATGTTAGAGCTGACCTTTGTGTGTGGATTCCTCCTGGTGGGCTCAGAGAGGATTTCCTTTACGCTGCGATCATAGTTTTTATTTATAACTCTCACCAAATGTTTTTATAAACAGAAGTTTTTGTAATCTGTTGTCATAGTTCATTTATCAATGTTTCATCATGTAATGAATAGATATTTATTTTTGCTATAATTATGATCATATATTTATAATCCACTTTTAATTAAATTGTTCATAAACTCGGATAAGATAATTATATTCCGCTGTTATACAATAACTATTATACTCTGATGTTGTATTAGAAGTGATGTAAGAATTGATTAAGAATGATGTAAGCTTTATTCTCTCATTTGTGATCCTGATGTAAAAATGTGGATTTTCAGGTTCTCCCTCGGGATGTGCGCGACGGAACTACATAATTTGGTGTTCTCCCTTGAGTACTTAGTGTCTAATGGAAGACAATTACTCCTAGGAGGCATTAGATTAGACGGAACGTGCTCGCCTAGGACCCAGCTAACGTGGTGACTAGTCATTCGAGGCCTGGTGTGGATGTCGAGACGCGCAAAATGCCCCTACCTGGTGCGCCAACTGTCGGTGTTTTGAGTTACCACCCACGAGTAAAATTCTATTATTGCACGTCTGGCTCGGATGGTGTGCTTAGAGGACACGAGGTTTATACTGGTTCGGGCAGAATATCCCAACGTCCAGTTTGTCGTTGCTGCTCGTGTTGCTAGCGCTGAAAGTTTGTAGTAGGGGTTACAAACGGGCGAGAGACGGACAGGTCCCAAGTCTCTGGTGGAAAGAGTGGACGGGTGCCGGGAGCTCGGTTGCTGCTCAGTCGTGTGCTTGTGTTGTGATTTGGTCGGTTCGAGGTTCGTGATGGTTCGATTGGGTCTGGCCTCAATTGATCGATCCCCTTCGTGGGGCGCCCTGCTTTCCCTTTTATAGGTCAAGGGAAAACACAGGTTATAGCGGAGGGAAAGAGAAGAACGAGAGAGAGCCGAAGGCCTTCAGCATCGCTAGGTCCTTCTTATCCTTCATGTGGGTCCCGCCGACCCTGTAGATGTCAACAGGGATGGCTCCATATCGTGGCCCTGTCCGTCACTGGCGCCATGCATAGGCGTCATTTGTCGGTCATAGCGCTCCACTCCGTCCTAGCGGACGTCGTGGTGAACTAACGCACCTGTTAGTGTTCATACGAGGGATAGGCAGAACAGCACCGGTACGCCCGATGCTGTTCCTGATGTGAATCCTCAGGTATGGCCCATCATGGACGCGGGTTACATCGGGGCGTGCCGATCGCCTCCATGATGTCAGAGCTTTGACCGAGGCCCATACACTTAGACCTAGAGTGGTTGGCGGCAGCATGGGTCACCGTTGGGCGACGCGGAGCCCGCGGCCTCGGGGTCGAGCGAGGCGGAGCCCTCCCCTAGAGGTTGGGCGAGGCGGAGCGCAAACCCAAGGGTCGGTCGAGGCGGAGCGCAAACCCAAGGGTCAGGCGAGGCGGAGCCCGCGGCCTTGGGGTTGGGCGAGGTGGAGCCCTCTCCTAGAGGCCGAGCGAGGCGGAGCGCAAACCCAAGGGTCGGGCGAGGCAGAGCTCATGGCCTTGTGGTCGGGCAAGGCGGAGCCCACGGCTTTGGGGTCGGGCAAGGCGGAGCCCTCCCCCAGAGGCCGGGTGAGGCGGAGCGCAAACCCAAGGGTCGGGCGAGGCAGAGCGCAAACCCAAGGGTCGGGAGAGGTAGAGCCCGCGGCCTTGGGGTTAGGCGAGGCGGAGCCCTCCCCAGAGGCTGGGCGAGGCGGAGCCCTCCCCTAGAGGCCAGGTGAGGCGGAGCGCAAACCCAAGGGTCGGGCGAGGCGGAGCCCGCGGCCTTGGGGTCGGGCGAGGCGGAGCCCTCCCCAAAGGCCGGGCGAGGCGGAGCCCTCCCCCAGAGGCCGGGCAAGGCGGAGCGCAAACCCAAGGGTCGGGCGAGGCAGAGCCCACGGCCTTGGGGTCGGGCGAGGCAGAGTCCTTCCCCAGAGGCTCCCCAGAGGTCGGTCGAGGTGGAGCCCGCGCGCCTGGGGTCGGTTGGAGCCGTAGTCGCGCTCTTTACTGTTCGGATGAATTAATGTTGATGACCATTAGCCCCTCCTCTTCGGGTACCCTAGTATTGGTCCCCGACACTGATAATCAGGCCACTGGTACAGAAAACATTTCCATTGTCGGCACTTTTTGGATTTCCACTGACGGTTTTGTGAACTGATGGTGATGTTCCACTTGCATCACTTGAGAACCACCTATGTAAATGTTTACACTGGTGGCTGGCTTAAGGCTGCCGCTAGTCTAAATCATGTATATATTTACGTTGCTTCTTTATCACTATACCTCAGAATCACTTATGACAAAGTGGCAGGCACGTTACTTTTATTATATTCACTTTAGTGAATATTGTAATGCATATTTCAGACCTTAAATGAATTCAAATAAAAAAATTGAATAGGAAAGTTTTAAATCACTTCGAGTACTACAACTTTGGTTAAGTCATTTCTTTATCCGAGATCATTTGAAAAAAAAGATGAATTTAAAAATTATTAATGTTCAAACATGATTTCCGGAAGCACCTGGTTAACTAGGATAAACTACCGATTAGACGAAAATAATGTACAAATGTGTAGTGTTTAAATAGTTTTTAATAAATAGGCTAAATGACTGTTAAATGATCAACGCATACCACAGATTAAACACAAGGCCACGTTTGTGTAGTTTGTGGATGGTAACAAGCAAGCTGGGCAAATGGACTATTGGATTATAATAATTTGGCCCCATGAATTGCAAGACAAGAAAAATCCATAAAACATGTTACGAACTATTAAAACAACGAAGCACAGTTAGACAAACTAGTAATGAGCACAGTCACTAGTCTATTATCCTGGCATGCAGCATCCACATGACAACATGGGTGTACAATGAAGCCCAGCACAAGAAGTAAAATACTTAAATTACACTATTTAAGTAGTACAAGCAACCCAAAAACCACATAATACAAACTAGCGCACTTTAAGAGAAAAGCCCGTGTTGTATAGCTTGCCGAATGTGGATTACAATTTGCAAACTTGGGGCAAGCAGATCGTTGGCAGTAAGAATCCAGCATGTGGATGGTTACAATTTATGAGTTGTCTGCTGAAATCTAAAACAAATAGGACCAAAAGCAAACAGAAAAGGAAAAGGAAAAACTGTGGGACACTACAAGGGGCCGCCTAGCATATATACCAACACATGTTCTTTTGATTTCCCGCAAGCCGCAAGTAACTCTTTTTTTTTTTTTTTTTTTTTTTTTTTTTTGGCATCCCCAGCCTCGTTTGACACTGATGATAAAAGGGCCCTCTCACCACATACAAACAGAGGCAGCACACAAGTCCTCCAAACAAGCTTCATCACTTCATCCTCCCGCACACCACTGCGCATCCGTGCACAGAGCTCTAGCCATGGCTCAAGAGCTCCAAGAAACGTCCTCTTCCTCTGCCACGACCACCTCGTCGTGTACCACCTCCTGCTGCTCGTCCACTGTCACGGACTCGTCTTCTTCTCCGCCGTCACCGGCGGCGGCCAATGCCGCTCCCGCGCCACGGAAGCGGCAGGCGGCGGAGGCGGAGGCAGAGACCGAGACCGAGGCCGAGGCCGAGGCGGGTGGGGAGGAAGAGGAAGAAGGTTGTGCTGGCAAGACGGCGCCGGCGGCGAAGAAGCGGAAGCGGAGCAGCGAGGGCAAGCACCCGACGTACCGCGGCGTGCGGATGCGGGCGTGGGGCAAGTGGGTGTCAGAGATCCGCGAGCCACGCAAGAAGTCGCGCATATGGCTGGGCACGTTCCCCACCGCCGAGATGGCGGCGCGCGCCCACGACGTCGCCGCGCTCGCCATCAAGGGCCGCGCCGGCGCCGCGCACCTCAACTTCCCGGACCTCGCCGGCGTGCTCCCGCGCGCCGCGTCCGCGGCGCCCAAGGACGTCCAGGCCGCCGCCGCATTGGCCGCTGCGTTCACGTCGCCGTCGCCATCGTCACCATCATCGGAGCCCGACGCCGCCGGTGCGCCGGTGGCGCCATGCGACGCACGCGAAGAGCCCTCCGCCGCCAAGAACGGCGCCGCGCCCGAGGAGGAGGCAGCAGCCGCCGAGGCACCGGTACCACCGCCGGAGGTCTCTCAGCCAGGGACGCCGTCGTCGAGCGGCGTGGAGGAAGAGCGGCAGCTGTTCGACTTGCCGGACCTGCTCCTCGACATCCGGGACGGGTTCGGGTGCTTCCGGCCGATGTGGGCCCTGCTCACTGACGTGGAGGAGGTCAATGCGGAGCTGCGCCTCGAGGAGCCGCTGCTTTGGGAGTAGCAGTCAGAGATGCTTGTCTTCGTTCTCCTCCTCTTTTCTCGTTTTTTTTTTTTTACTTTGGAAAAGCAGCTAGTTCTTTTTTTCTTTTTTCTTCTTCTTTTCAATTGGGTTAAATAAGTATAAACATATATAAATGAGAGATATAAGTTGTGTACTTATAAGTGTAAGACGAGTAGTACCTACCAGTTAATTAATTATTACATACACTAGTAATAATGTGATCCAGTGTGTGAATTCGAGCAGTAGTTGACCTTGCTAGATTTTACTAGTTGCTTGTGCTTCCACTATCCCATGAGTGCTGTACCAAATCCCCCAGTGAAAGGACAAAAAGGAAATGAATGTAATGACCTGAGATGGTATGGAATCTAACCTTACTGCTGACCACGAGATGTCTCAAGTTCTTAACCTCACAGTCAATGGCAATTGTATATTATAATTTGCAATGCAAGTAACCCATTACCGTTAACCAGAGCTGGCCAGTCCAAGTCCAGCTATATATTCCATTCCCTACCATTTTTCTATCATCAAGTGTAGCTATTATTGTTCAGCTTCAGCAGCAACAGGGGGTCGTCTCTGAATCCCGATTGGCGTGTTGTTCTGCCCCCCATGATCAAGTGGTGACAAAGTGTTGCATTCCTCATGTGGCTAGCTGCAGCATCTTCGCCTTCCATCTACAGTTCTCTGCAGCTTTGGAAGGCCCGGAGATGCCCACGCCGATGCTACAGGGAGCGTGGCTCATTGTGCTGTTCGTCTGGTTGATAAGCCATGACTAAAAGTACTATTAACTGATTTGTTGTAAGAAAAAAATACTATTCTCTGACTAAAAAAATATGGCTTATAAACAAAGCGAACGGTATATTTTTAAGCGCGGACATCATTTGCAGCGCGGAAAGCTGATGCTCGCTCTTACCGCAGTTACCATGGCTGGCGGAAGGCTTCTTCCGCCTTCTGGTCTCTGGTCTGGGCTCGCCCTGCCCTGCCCTGCCCTTTCGCTGGAACAGGGCGCTGCCCCTCCCGGCAAGGCAAAGGGCCCGGCCAAGCCCAAGCGTGCGTGACAGCCGCCTGGTCGTGCCACGGTGGCGATGGCCACGCCACGTCGGCAGCTGGGTGGCTGAGCTGGTGAAGAGCTGCAGCGCACCGCACCGCACCGCATCTGCAGTTTTGACGTGCGTGGCAGTGAATACTTGGACGTATACGGCCGCCCTGGACGCGCGTGCGGACGTGGTAGCGTAGACGAATACAATACGCGCCGTTTTGTTGTACCTGGTACGTACTCCTACCTGCGTAGCGCGTACGTACGCGGACGTGCACACGTCAGGCGCCCACGCGGTCGTTTTCGAGATGTGGGATCGCGGTCGAGCTGGACACAGTTGTCACGCTACACCCCTGCTGTGCCATTAATTGGGCAGCATTGAACGACTTAACGAGGGAGGATGAGCATCTAAATGCAGTATCTTCGATTGATGTACTTTATAGTACTATAGCAATGGAACACACGGGTAACCGAGAAGGGTCTCTATTTACTATCCTATTTTGAGTGTCAGCGGGAGATAAATAAATAAAAAAACTTTAGTAGATTTCTACCTGGAGCAACTCTATGAGATTGAGAAACACTCAACTCATATATCTAGTTAGAGCAACCACAATGTCTAGAGTCACTAAAACCATGGCACCCGAACTATGATTGTTTAGTCAGTTTAGTCAAGCGATAGATGATTGTTTAGTGTGTTTAAATGTTTAGCTAAAATGGGGCCCACACAAGTAGTCAATAGCTATTATAACTCATTCACAATGAAAGATACATAAAGTACCAATATAGATTAAAAAAAATCTCTTATCTCAACCATCTCCCCTTCTGGATCCATTTATTATGTGCCATTCACCTTCTTCCTCTGTTCATCTGACGTCCCTCTCTACAGGGGGCAAGGGCACCATGGGAAACCACTCATCTAGATGCAACACTGACGCTGCTTCCAAGCACCTCTTCGCCATGGTAGCTCGTCCCCTTAATCCTGCCTAGCCACCGCGCGCCCCCGCCACCACTAGCAATGTCGTTGGACACACATAACGGGTCATCCCTCCCCGTCCCCGTAGATTACAGGGGTAATCGTTGGATGGGTACGGATAACTTGCCATGCTTAGTGTCCATTGTATTGTGCTTGGCAAGCTTAGGACAACAGAAAGTATCCACCGCTGCCTCTATGCTAGACCACCCTACCCGCATACATGAATATGTCTAATATAGTGATCCCTGCTGATCTTTTCCTACTCTCTCTTCTGCCGACTGATCCTAGCTGTAGTGACTCGCATCCAAACACATAGTGGCTACTTGAATAAGACCAACAGTTGTTGCGGGATACAAGGTGAAAATTAAGTAACTTTTCACCTCGACCACCCCAACACATGTGTATTGAGGTGGATTTAGGGCAATCAAATAAGACCTTAGGCAGGGTGCATATAAATACATCCAACAAGGTTTTGGTTTAGTTTGGTTGCATGAAAATATATTTGCAAGATGCTAGAATAGTTTCTACCTATGTTTGTGTCGAAACTAAGCAAGTCACTAGGATTAGCATGGATGCAGCGGCTGCGACTATTTATTTTCTTTTACAAGGAACAGTAGATGTAGGGGTACCTATCAGACTCTTATTGACACATCCATGAGAACTCTTTCCTAGTTTTGTTAAATGATTTGGATCACCTAGGAGTGGATCAGTGGATAAAAACTTCCTTAGCAGTAGTAAAACATTGACTCACAACCTTGAAATGGTAGATCTAAAAGGAAAAGGGGGGAAAAGGAGAGAGGGGAAGTGTTACCGACCATCGGAAGGCTTGGTAGAGGAGCTCACCATGGCATCGGTGGTGAGATCAGTGAAGAGGGTTGAGCGCAGTGCAGGGCGGTGGCGTCCTAGTGGCGGGGAGGCAGTGGGGCTTCTCGTCGCTGGCAGCGCCTCCCTGGATCGGTTAGGGTTGTGTCGGTGGGGTTTGTGGCGGCACGGTGAACCTCATACCGAGTGCTCCGGCCCCCACCTCCTTTATATGGCGTGTAGGATGGGGGCCCACCAACCATGATTAGGTTGGGCGCCCCCGATCAGGGCACGGATCAGGGCCCAAGTTGGTCGTTAGGCCGACTTGGTGGAGATCAACCTAATATTCTCTCCCTTGATCTCACATTTATTACTCAAACTTAAAATACTTATCTCTTTTCCCATTGTCGCATAGAGCGTGCCTCGTCACAACAGTTAGTACCATTGGATTAACAGCTACAATACACTTCACTGTTTTTGAAACAAATTCTCAGCTAGGCCCTTATTGTCTAGGGATCATAGGCTTTCCTATAAACCCATGGTGGCTAAATATTCTCTGAACACATTGGGCGGTAAGCCTTTAGTAAGCGGATCCGCAAGCATTTTCTTTGTACTTATATGCTCGAGACTGATAGCATGATCCCGGACTTTGTCTTTCACAACATAAAACTTTATGTCAATGTGTTTGGCAACACCACTTGACTTATTATTGTAAGCATAACATACTGCTGGCTCATTGTCGCAGTACAACTTGAGTGGCCTATGAATGTCGTCGACCACTTTCAACCCGGGCATAAATTCCTTTAGCCAGTTCACCTGCCCTGTGGCCTCATAACATGCTACAAACTCGGCATACATCGTGGACGATGCAGTGACAGTTTGCTTGGAGCTTTTCCATGATATAGCTCCCTCTGCGAGAGTAAATACATAGCCTGGTGTGGATTTTCTATCATCTACATCTTCCACAAAATCTGAATCTGAATACCCCTCTATATGTAGGGAATCAGATCTTATGTACGTTAGCATGAGGCCTTTTGTGCCTTGCAAATAACACAAAGCTTTCTTTACCATTCTCTAGTTATCTATTCCTAGATTACTTTGATATCTCCCAAGTATCCTGGTAACAAAAGCTAAGTCAAGGCATGTACATACTTGAGCATACTGTAAGCTTCCTACAGCTGAAGCATATGAAACCGTTTTCATTCGATCGATCTCATATTGGTTCCTGGGACATTGGAATTCCCCAAAACTATCGCCCTTGACTATAGGAGCAGGTGAAGGCTTACACGCATGCATACTATATTTCTTTAGAACCTTTTATAAGTATGCCTTTTGCGATAATCCTAAAACCCCCTTTCTTCTATCTCGGTGAATCTCTATTCCTAAAACGAATGAAGTTTCACCGAGATCTTTCATGTCAAAATTTGAGGACAAGAACTTCTTCGTCTCCGGTAGTAGGTTAACATCACTACTAGCGAGTAAGATGTCATCCACATATAGGATTAGGAAAATGAATTTCCATTCTTGAACTTTGAATAAACGCAATTATCCTTCACATTCTCTTTAAACCTAAACTTTCTTATCGTTCCATCAAACTTTAAATACCACTGTCTAGAGGCTTGTTTTAATCCATAAATGGATATCTTCAGGTAGCATCCCATACGTTCTTTTTCTTTCATGACAAAACCTTTTGGTTGTGCCATGTAGATGTAACACCCTCGATGTTACGCCCTAAACAAACTACTAAATCATGTCATGAGCATCATGTTTATGTAATAATGCATGTGATAGAAGGTGTTGATAAATTTCTTGTAGCCTAAAATGACCAATAAAAATGTTAAATAGAAATTTATTCAATAACTCATGTTATGTCAAGTAGGGTGGAAGGCTAAAAAAAGTAGGGTGGAAAACCAATTTTTATTGAGCAAAAGTATTATAGAACATGTGCGTGACACCTAAATAAGGTTTGAAGTACAAACTTTGTAGATGACAATGCTTCCCTTACTGTAGAAAAATAACATGACTAGCTAGTATTTCTAATGGCTTAGAAATGGAACTTGAAGTCAAATTCAGCTCAAGACTTGGAAGAAATTTTAAGTTTGAAAACATTGTGACAATGCCATGCTGGTGAATTAATTCTAGAAAATCTAACTAAAGGTCAATGCTGTGTTTTTGCTCCTTATGGTAGACTGA